AGCATCGCAACCTGCCGCCCACGTGGCATCCCGTACACTTTCACGCACTTTCCGTTTTCAGAAATGAAGAAACAAGTTGAGGACAAGCGTCAATGGCTTGATCGAGTTTGTGCTAATGTGATTAATTGGTGAAACCGTGAAATTGCCCTTTTTTGTTTCACTGAGTCAATGCAACTCGTGCCACTACAGAGAGCTCTGTCCGTTGCCCTGACTAACAGCATTCAGGATGGTAAGAAGAGACAAGCTGTGGCTCTTCACACTTGTAGGGAGACATCTCGGGGAGGACCTTATTGAGGCGTATGTAATAACAATATTTTCGGATAAACCGAGGCAGCAGGTCAGGGGAGCACGGGTTCAGAGATGCGAAGGGCAATTTTAAGACAGACACCAGGAAGTTTTTCTTTACACAGAGGAGAATTAGGCGTTGGGAGAAATTACCAGAAAGAGTGGTTGAGGCCAGGACGATGGGACTCATTTAAGAATCAGCTCGATGCTGTGATGGGAGAATGAGAGGATAGAGGTACTAGAAGGATGAAATCAGATTGGTCAAAGGGAGTTCTTCATCCAAGCTTCTCTTGTGACGTACATGTCTTGAATTGATCTGTTTAACCAAATGGTTATGCTCAGTCAATTCAGCCTCCTCATTCCTCCCCATCCCCCGCTGCGTTCCCATCGACGGAGATTGACTGGCATATGGACATGTCTGCAGAGCTGTGCAGTCACGTTCCTCCCATCTGCAGCTGTTTGTTAAAGAATGTTGGGTGTAATTAATTTCTGGTAACATGCTCCGTGTTAATGAGGTGTATTTGTCCGCAGCACCTCCAGTGTTTAAAATCTGGATTAATTAGCTTCTTGCTTCACCCGAGTGGAATGGAGCAAACCCGACAGGACTCGAAAGGGTAATGGAAAAGGCAGCTGCAATCTTGGCATTGGATCATTCAGGAAGATTGTTTGCTCTATGAATGGGTTACAAGGAAAAAAACGAAGGACTGACTGGGATAACCACAGTGGGAACTGAATACGGCAGCCAATTTCTACAAACGGCAATTTCCCACAAACAGCCATGAATTGAATGACCGATTTTATCTGGGAGAAACTTCCTTCCCTTCTGGAATACTGTGATGGGATCTTTTAATGTCCACCTGAACAGCCACAGACAGCACCTTGGTTTAATGTCTCATCCAAATGACAGCACCTTCAACAATGTAGTGCTCCCACAGCCTAGACAGTGACGTGGGACTTGAAACCCACAAGCGACTCACCGCAGAGCTGTTTAGTGGATACTGTTGTGCGCAAATGTGCTCCTGCATTTTCCTACCCAATACACAGTCATTACACTTTACAGTAATTCTATTTTTAACCAATCGTACATGAGGTAGAACTGTAAATCATTGTGGAAAGCAGATGGATGTGAAAAAGCAGATGAGATTGAGCAATATGTTAAAAAAGATAATTTCAGATGAAAAGAGAATACTGGAAACATGAAATTGCAAATGGGTGTGAGGAATAATAGGAAGGAATCTTGCGCCTACTTTATTGACCTTACAAGGAGCGAGGAAATAAGCAGACCATTATTCCTCTACTGTGCGTTTTTCTATTACCAAGCCAGTTAGCAGTAATGGAAAGTACGTTATCTGGTTTTATAACAACTTGCACTTGTATAGAACCATTCGCTCAGTAGGAGGACTTCTGGTCGTGCTTCACAAAGATGATGAGGAGGGAAGGAAAGAGATTTTAGGGGTTGACCCCCAGAGGGAGGATTTTCAGAGAGTTTTGAAGGCAAAGGTAGAAGGAGCGAGGTGTAGGGATATATGGGGAGAGATCCTAAGAGTAGAGGCACAGCGACTGAAGGCTTGATCCTGATAACGGAATGAAAAGGAGTGAGGAACAAGCATGGACTTGAGTTGGAAGGGCTTAGTGCACTGACAGGAGAATAGAGCAGCGGTAGATAGCATAGGGGAGATGATTTTACAGGGCCCCTAGATTTCACGTCACAGATTGTAATAACCAATGACACATATTTTCTTTGGATTTATCGCACAGCGGTTTCCGACTAGCACAATCTTGTGCTCAGCAGGGCTCTCCACCACCATTACTGGCCTTATTTACCTCTTAGGTTGGATAGCTAAGAGCTTGTTTGTGATTGTTGTGGATAGGAGGCTCTTGGCACACACTGATCCTCTAGAGTGCTTCAGACAGTCAGACCGAGCACACAGCTGAGTAATACCCCTGGAAAGCTGCTCAGTGCTCACACTGTGATTCATTGTAGTAAGGTATGCTGAGTGGATTAAAGAGTGCTGGAGCTTCCGTGACTATTTTACAATCGCACTCGTATGAGAATGCGACACTTTCTCTGCTCTGAGTCAGCTCAGTTCCAAATCCCCCGAGGGCAGATTGTGGCCAAAGGCAAATATAATAATATTAATCCTTGCATTTGATATATCGCACTATCACGTCGTTGAGACGTCTCAAAGAGCTTCACAGAACATACTGTAAAGTGAAATTACTTGTGTATTTCGTGGGAAAAATGCAGCAGACAATTACGCACAGCAGTGTCCCACAAACAGTCGTGGATTGAGTGATTAAATTCTTATTTAAAATTTTTTTTTGAAGGGTTTATTTCCCCCCCTTCAGGGGATTTACAAGGGTTAATTAAAAAGTGATCTAATTAACAACCTACTTACTGCTAGGTATACAGCCGTATGGAGTAAGGAAATGGAGTAAGGAAACGTGCGTAAGGTTTCGCTCTGCCCAGGAATCGAACCCGGGTCCTCTCGCTTGTGAGGCAAGCTCTCTAACCAATACACAACAGGAGCTATTGGCGTCAGTCGGGTCAATTCAAGACCACCTGCGACCTTTCAGGATCTGATTGAGGTCCTACTCAGACGTTTGAGCGCAGAGGCACTGGGAAGAACTGCGAGTGTGAGCTTGGTTTGAAATGTGTGTACAAGGGAGAGGGGAACAGAAGAGCTTAGCAGAGGGGATTAGGAGTAGTGGAGGCTCATGTTGAGTATGAAGAACTGGCTAGTTGTGTCGTGCTGCATCATTTGATGGAGCAGATGGGGACCTGCTTTGTCTGTAAAATGAAGTTGAAACTGTGTCAGACAACAAGGTGCAAGTTGCGGAGGATGGGATATAAATCATCCACTAAGTGTCAGTATTGAACGAGTTATTTTGCTCACCGTCCTCCCATTAATTGTCGTTTGGGAATGGCTCAAAAGCAGCACTTCATTGCTTTTCCGAACACAGTCCACAAACCACATGTCGGATTAACACGCCCTGACAACAAACAGAGAGGCAGACTGGTCAATTAAGCGACTGGGGTTAAAGTGACATTATTTTAGTTCCAACCAACAATTGGTGTGAATCTTCACCCTCAAACCCCACACACACATCCCAGCCCCCACCCCCTCCCCTTCCCGCACCAGGCTCCACTGATTTCCTGTCTCCCAACCGATCAACTTCAAGGTTGACCTTTAATTCCCTTCACTCCCAAATACCTCCCTATTTCTTGGGATCTTCTCCTAAACCACTCTTGTGTTTGCCCCCTCCGAACGTCCAGCTCGGGCCTGGTGCAGCACGTTCCCCCATCCCCTCCATGCCATCACGAGTGGCCGAGCCTTCAGCTATTACACCCCTTTAACACTGAAACTCCCTCCCTCTACCCCTCCAATCACAGATCACATTTTTACCCCATTTAGGATCTGGCATGTTCCACCGACAAGGCTATTCTTTCCAAACCTTGTTTTGTCGTGGAGCTGCAGTGTATAACAGGTCAGGGTTTTTAAGAGTTTTGGAGTGATCAGCCTGGCAGTAGTAGAGAGACCGGTCAGCATACAGACAGATTCTATGACGCATTGCACAATAAAAGATTCCAACATATCAGAAATGTTCCTTATCTGAAAACTCCAACTCATCTCCTTTTCTGCATCAAAACAAGGAGCATCGCATGTTGAGATTGCTAATTGAGATTGCTTTTATTCCAGGGCAAATTTCTGTCCCTGCATTGTTCAAGCCTAGCCAAGCATGCTGAAAGACGCCAAGAGCCAAGAAGATATTTATTAATTAAAAGGGGGGGAAAAAAAAGGAATCAGGTTTACAGTTTGGACCGAGAGTGAGTTGTTCCCTCCGTACGTTCTCCAACAACACAGGGAAAAAAATACCTTGACGTCATTATCAATCAGCAGCTGCCATATCACAAAGCAGATGGGTACGTGGGCCCAGGCCCTCTTTGCTTTGCTCTGACGACGGCCTATTGGGAGCTCTGCTCGTGACATCTACTGACTCATGGGGACTGTGGCTGCCTTTGAACATCTCATTAACTTCAAAGTGTTCAACGCTTGACACTTATCCCTAAGGTCACCAAATTACTTGCCCTTTTGTGACTTACAACATCCCAAAGTTGGTTCAGTCGATAGTGCTGGAAGGTAGAGGCACGGAAATCCACGTATCTCAGAAATCTCCAGTTGTGTGTATTTTTATTCTTAATTTCGAAGCCGGTTTTCAGTCCTTTTCTTTCCGTTGTAACTGGTGCAAGCGTTCGAGTGAGTTACCCAGTCAGTTGGGCATTCTTTACACTGGTATTCAAAGTTTATAAAGAATGCGCAGCACGGAAACAGGCCACTCGGGGTGTGGTGGTGGTGGGGGGGGGTACACCCATAGCAGATATCGGCCACGCTCCTACCAAAACTGTCCTGAAGCCCAAAGTAATTGTTTCACAATCTCGGAAGCTCATCAATCCGATTTTTGTTTTTTGGTCAGCTCTGCTCCAGTGGGGCCTCAGGTGGTCTCTGAAGGTTGCTCACTCTATCCTCAAAGGGCTGCCTTCCTCCCCCACCTCTGAACACCTCTGATTTCTCAGCCCGCAAGTTGCGGCCATTGTACTCCTCTAGTTCTCAATTTATGCTGCAGAATGAACCGTAACTTAGAGCCCTCGCAAGCCTCTGACTGACTGACCTAAACACTCACCAAAGTAATTTCTTCTACTCTGTTCGCTACAGATTGAAACGGAGGATGAGAAGAAGCGATTTGAGGAGGGAGAAAGCAGATACCAGCAGACCAAAGCCAAGAGACTGGCTCAAGCACAGCACCAATAAAACACTCTCTCATAAACACACACACACACATAGACACACACTGACATATATATAGACTTGTACATAACCACATACGCTGCCATCGATGGCCCAAGGGAACTACTCTGCAGGTTCCATGACCAAATTAAATTCAAAACTGTATTACTTGAAAATTGTATGTGTCTTAAATTGTGCATCTTAAATAGTATGTTTTTCATTGTGGAGCCAAAGTATCCCTTATTTAAGCCGTCGTGCAAAAAGAGCTATTGAACCGAAAGAAAACTATGCACAGTGTTGAACTTATTTGTTTCTGCAGTTATTAAATTATTGAGGATCTATCGCTCAGTGAATAAATGCCTCTGTGGCTTAAGAGAAAGCTTGGTTGTTGCAATGTCATTTGGTATTTATTGGATATTTGCAGCGATATCTACAGTTCTCAGCTCTGCATCGGCAGCCAATTTGCTTTGAATGGAGGTTTGCTCATAAAAAACACAGACCCGAAAATCACAAGATCTTGTCATCTCATTTGATTTCAATCAATTTCAAAAAACCTACCCTCCCGTCACAGCCTCAAGCTGTTTTTTTAAATGAGTCCAAGTGCCTTGGCTTCAACCACCTTCCTGGTAACCCTGTTCCACTTGTTAACGACTCTTTAGGAAAAGAAAAACTTCCTGTTGTCTGTCCTAAAAGCTGGTCTCAGTCTAGCAACCACTTTGTCTCAAAATTTAATGCAGAATTGTGGAAAGTTCTGCAGTTCAACCCCAATTCTAAAGCCTGGTTTGTCAGAGTAAAAAACTTAGCCAGCTTCTACAATTAAGATGGAATTTAAGAATTTTCAGCAGTTCTGCACTGACCTTGAGCTTTAAGTCCAAAATGGTGTTCTCGGCTAAGCCTGGGTGGAATTTCAAGGCTAATAGCTTGTTATCCTTTCAAGCAAACCTCAGTCGTTCCAAGGTCTCGCTGCTGTGAAATGTAGGTGGGCTCATTGGTTGAGGAAGAATTGATCTGGGCTATGATCCCTAGTCTCCCTCCATCCCAACCCCCAACACATACACACACACACACCACTCACATCCATACAGCCCAATAGCTTGTTGAGTCTGACATCTGAAGAATAACCCTTTGGACAAGATACCGAAGAGCCCAACACCCGTTGAGCCGTGAGCCAGCTAAATGTCAATTTTCCCAGGAGGAGAGGAGATAAGTGGAGTGTGTTCAAACAAGAAAGGTTTAAACAAACCTTGGCTGAAATGTTCAAGTCGGTTATAACCACAGAGCCAAGAGGAACAGTGGAAAATGTTGTTATTAGACCACAGATTGGTGTGATATGAATAAAAGATAACAGAAGAGGGCCGGGGATTAGAGAAAAAGGAGACATCTCTCTCAAAGGCGATATTGATTAAGATGTAAATAATACACCATTCGGAGTGCGGGAATAGTGAGGGGAATGAGGAGGGCGTTTGAGTTATTGAATAATTTATTCTGTTGTGTAGGAGATGATTGAAATGATGTGGTTTCTCTGTGGATGTTTGAATAGTTAGAGAGTTCAAGTGTTCGCTTGCGACTAACTGGAATCCAAATGAGATGTTCCATAAAAATGAAGGCAGCCTGATTTGTTTCTACCTCGTTGGACTGATTTCACTGCATTTACTTCGTTAACTCATTGCAGGGAACCTTAATTCAAAAAACTGAGCCACATAATGAATCTCTCGAACAAGCCTATGGGCTCGCAGTGCTTTGTGGGGAGGAACTTCCACCCTGCAGAGCAAGAACCCTCAGTCTCCACGGCAACGCAGAGCCGTGCCGCAATGGGGTGGGGGGGGGGGTGTCTCGTGTTCATGAAAACAGACAGTGAGCCCGTGGAGGGGGCGTGGGCAGGGTAGTGGAGGGAGTGGCCCGGCACGTATTAATAGGACATTAACTCAATCGGAAAAAAAAAAATCAAATAATCTGAATCGCAAAAGCCGTGTCTGGCAAAATCGATGGCTCCTTTAAATCATTGTCGTGCCTTTAAATTCCTGCCTGAGAAAACGTATCGGGTTGTCATACATCTCCATTACTTCGCTCACAAGACTACTGTTTTTTTCCTAATGGGGTAATTTCCTTTTTTTTAATATAACTTTCCAGCTAATTAGCAAACCCGCAAATGACTCACATGATGTGATGCGTTCCCCAATGTATTTTGCTGCCTCGAGGAAGCAGAATCCTAATACTCTATAAGTTACTCCCGAGGAGAAGGAACCTTGCTGCTGGCCAAGTGCGGCTCTGCCATATCCTCTGAGTAACTAACTGGTTGCTGGAAACAGATTGCGAATCGTTTGAGAAAAATTCCAGGCGAGGTGTGATGTGGTGATGATTATCACCGGGGTTAATTATCACATCGGGGGACATGACAGGCATCCGCTGAGGCTGTAAGCGCATGACTCCCTCCCTCTTTCCCTCCCTGTCTCCTTCTGTCAGCGTTCCTCTGTTCCTCCTTCCCTCTCTCCCTCCCTCCCTCCCTCCCTTACCCTCCACTTTCAGACCGTGATTAAGACCACAGCCACCACTGCAGTTCTCCCATTACAATAATAATAATAATCCTTGCATTTGACACAGCGCCTTATCGCGTCTTCGAGACGTCTCAAAGCGCTTCACAGGATACACTGTAAAGTGGAGTGACTGTATATTTTGTGGGCGAAACGCGGTTTGCCACAAAACAAAGAGCTACATGAAATGCAAGGATTATTATTATTAAAACAGCTGCAGAAACTGACTTGCTTGCAAATTGCGTTCGCACAGTCATGTCGGTGCAATCGGGGGTCGGGGGGAAAGCGTCATTTTCTAAAACCTTTTATAAGCCGTAGTCATCTAAGAAAGAAAGAAACGATGTTTAATTAACATCAGTAATCTTAGTAATGACATTGTACACTGTTATGTGACAAGCAAATTTGATTGTATAACTAGGTGAATATATGTCACATTAGGGTCCAGTTTACACTGTTTCTTACCACAATTCCATATTAAGGTTTTCTTGTAGGATCTCAATCAACCCATGGAACTCTGCTCCACAACTAAATCAAAGTAACAACAGGTTAGCATTCACCTCAATACTGAAGATAATAATAATAATAATAACGTCATAATAATTCTTTCATTTACACAGCGCCTTTCACAACGTGATAACATCTCAAAGCACTTCACAGGATTTCATGTCATGTGCAGTGACTGTGCATTTGCGCATAGCACTCCCACAAACAGCCATGTAGTGAATGACTGATTTAACTGCTCATCAGTCCCTCAGTCCGTCCTTTCCTGCATTCAATACTCCTTATTTATTCTCCTAAGGGAAGGATGTGCTTATTTCTCCAGGACTCCCCAAGGTAATTGAGCAAAACCCCACAATAACATATCTCTGCACGTATTCAAGTCAGGCTCTCTGCTTTCCATACATGCAAATAACTCTGTGCCAACAAAACAGAAAGCATCTTGTTCCATGATGTTTTAGATCATTGTCTGTGCTTAACCCTGTCATCTTCACTCCGCACTCCTTGGCAAGTGTTTACCCAGCTGTTTTTTTGAAAGGACTATGACTAACTCGACATTAAACTGCATTCTGCTGGGAATCTAGACTATGTATAAATAAGAATGGTTACATTTGATACAGCACCTTTCACATCCGGATGATGTCTCAAAGGCTTCCTAGGATTTGGCTGTAAAGTGTAGTGACTGTGTGTGTTGTTGCCTGTTCCACCTTCTGCAAGGAGGGAGGGATGGAGGTTATCTTGCTTCATGCTAGTTAAATACTGTACCAATATTCCACCACCCCCCACCCAATGCCTTTGCTTTAACATGCACAGGAAACAATAAACTGAAGTCCCAACTACCTGTTCAGGTGGATGCACGCTATCATAAAATAGAAGTGATTTTTTTCCAGTGACTTGGCCAACAAATCCCCAGATATAATTGAACACAGTTCACAGCTGTTTGGGGACCTTGCTGTGCGCAAATTAGCTGCTACATTCAACTACCATAATAGTCACTACACTAAACAGTTACTCGAAGGTAATTAAGCAGAACCTGGAAAGGGGTTTGAGATGTTTCAATGTGAGACTGCGCCGTATTAAATATAAGGATCACAGTATTACAATAATATAATTTCCTGGATTATAGTACTATTTCCAGCTGGCTCAAACACCCGGGTTCTTGCGTTAGACACAGATCTGTTATAAACAGCCACCTGCCCTTCGACAGATGGCTTCCGAGGTTAAGCCGCCACCTGCATTGGATGCTCCCTAGCCTTTCCCTGCAGGTTAGCCATGATTATTCACTCACTACTGTTCATCCAACATCCTATCCTTCGAATTCGACTCCCAACCCAAAGAAAAAAGGGCTCCATCGTTTTGCACCATTGTCACAAAAGCCCTACATCGGGACTTGGTGGCTCACAGTCTTGACTGATGTTCCAGTGCAGTGTCGGGGGGAGTGCTGGATTATCGGAATTGCTGTCCTTCGGACGAGGCATGAAACTGAGGGCCCCTCTGCCTGTTCAGGTGAACGTTAAGAAATTCGCTTTTTCGAAAATAATAGGTAGTTCCTTCAATTGAGAATCGCCCAGTTAAAAAAAAAATTGATCATGCATTTTGGGTGTGTTTGTGGGATATTTCTGCACTTGCATTGGCTGCTGCGTTCGCCTACAAAATACACAGTCACTACACTTTACAGTAAATCTTGTGACACACTTCGATAAGGTGCTAGATCAAATGTAAAGATTATTATTATATTATTTACTTGGTTTCTTTCTGTAACTGTGGCAGATTTTGGGACTGGCATTGCTGTGCTTGCTAAGCAATGAGGTCAGACCAGAGGGGTCTTGGATTGTACCTGAGAGGCAACTGTGGTCTTAATCACGGTCGGGTGAGGCGGAGAAGGTGGGTATCAAAACTCTAATCCGAGCACTTGTGCTCTTTTCTCTGGCTCTGCAATAGGTCCTTTTAGTCTCCTAAGGTAGGTTAGGGCAGGGGAGAACAAAGGAAGCTTTTATCTCCTAGACATTTGGTCACACCAGGCCTACATACGACAAGCTGCCTCGAAGGATGTCTGAGCTGAATACCATAAGTCGCGAGGGATAAGGGTGAGAGGGTGCATGACACCAGTTGCAAACCCAGGTCCTTGCATACCTCCAGCCTTGAAGACCATTGCTGGCTGTCCCAGCCTGGGATTCTGGGGAACACAACTGGGCAGGCCCACATCTCTCAGCGTGGTCTTGCAATCTCGCCTCTGTGCTAAAACCTGAACTGGTCTTAATTAAAACATTTAAGAATCGCTATCAGCTCTGCGGTACGTCAATTTAAGCCTCACTATGCCTCTAAATTGCTTTTCCTTCCCTTGAGTATT